AATGACTGGTGTGCACCAATGTCTGTACATGCCTTACTGACTGGAGTGCACCCAGTGTCTGTACATGTCTTAATGACTGGAGTGCACCAATGTCTGTACATGTCTTAATGACTGGAGTGCACCCAATGTCTGTACATGTCTTAATGACTGGAGTGCACCCAGTGTCTGTACATGTCTTAATGACTGGAGTGCATCCGATGTCTGTACATGTCTTAATGACTGGAGTGCATCCAATGTCTGTACATGTCTTAATGACTGGAGTGCACCCAGTGTCTGTACATGTCTTAATGACTGGAGTGCACCAATGTCTGTACATGTCTTAATGACTGGAGTGCACCCAATGTCTGTACATGTCTTAATGACTGGAGTGCACCCAGTGTCTGTACATGTCTTAATGACTGGAGTGCACCAATGTCTGTACATGTCTTAATGACTGGAGTGCACCCAATGTCTGTACATGTCTTAATGACTGGAGTGCACCAATGTCTGTACATGTCTTAATGACTGGAGTGCATCCAATGTCTGTACATGTCTTAATGACTGGAGTGCACCCAGTGTCTGTACATGTCTTAATGACTGGAGTGCACCAATGTCTGTACATGTCTTAATGACTGGAGTGCATCCGATGTCTGTACATGTCTTAATGACTGGAGTGCATCCAATGTCTGTACATGTCTTAATGACTGGAGTGCACCCAGTGTCTGTACATGTCTTAATGACTGGAGTGCACCAATGTCTGTACATGTCTTAATGACTGGAGTGCATCCGATGTCTGTACATGTCTTAATGACTGGAGTGCACCAATGTCTGTACATGCCTTACTGACTGGAGTGCACCCAGTGTCTGTACATGTCTTAATGACTGGAGTGCACCAATGTCTGTACATGTCTTAATGACTGGAGTGCACCCAATGTCTGTACATGTCTTAATGACTGGAGTGCACCCAGTGTCTGTACATGTCTTAATGACTGGAGTGCACCCAATGTCTGTACATGTCTTAATGACTGGAGTGCACCAATGTCTGTACATGTCTTAATGACTGGAGTGCATCCAATGTCTGTACATGTCTTAATGACTGGAGTGCACCCAGTGTCTGTACATGTCTTAATGACTGGAGTGCACCAATGTCTGTACATGTCTTAATGACTGGAGTGCATCCGATGTCTGTACATGTCTTAATGACTGGAGTGCATCCAATGTCTGTACATGTCTTAATGACTGGAGTGCACCCAGTGTCTGTACATGTCTTAATGACTGGAGTGCACCAATGTCTGTACATGTCTTAATGACTGGAGTGCATCCGATGTCTGTACATGTCTTAATGACTGGAGTGCACCAATGTCTGTACATGCCTTACTGACTGGAGTGCACCCAGTGTCTGTACATGTCTTAATGACTGGAGTGCACCAATGTCTGTACATGTCTTAATGACTGGAGTGCACCCAATGTCTGTACATGTCTTAATGACTGGAGTGCACCCAGTGTCTGTACATGTCTTAATGACTGGAGTGCATCCGATGTCTGTACATGTCTTAATGACTGGAGTGCATCCAATGTCTGTACATGTCTTAATGACTGGAGTGCACCCAGTGTCTGTACATGTCTTAATGACTGGAGTGCACCAATGTCTGTACATGTCTTAATGACTGGAGTGCACCAATGTCTGTACATGTCTGAATGACTGGAGTGCATCCGATGTCTGTACATGTCTTAATGACTGGAGTGCACCAATGTCTGTACATGCCTTACTGACTGGAGTGCACCCAGTGTCCGACATGTCTTAATGACTGGAGTGCACCAATGTCTGTACATGTCTTAATGACTGGAGTGCATCCGATGTCTGTACATGTCTTAATGACTGGAGTGCATCCAATGTCTGTACATGTCTTAATGACTGGAGTGCATCCGATGTCTGTACATGTCTTAATGACTGGAGTGCACCCAATGTCTGTACATGTCTTAATGACTGGAGTGCACCAATGTCTGTACATGCCTTAATGACTGGAGTGCATCCAATGTCTGTACATGTCTTAATGACTGGAGTGCACCCAGTGTCTGTACATGTCTTAATGACTGGAGTGCACCAATGTCTGTACATGTCTTAATGACTGGAGTGCATCCAATGTCTGTACATGTCTTAATGACTGGAGTGCATCCAATGTCTGTCCATGTCTTAATGACTGGAGTGCACCCAGTGTCTGTACATGTCTTAATGACTGGAGTGCACCAATGTCTGTACATGTCTTAATGACTGGAGTGCACCAATGTCTGTACATGTCTTAATGACTGGAGTGCACCAATGTCTGTACATGTCTTAATGACTGGAGTGCACCAATGTCTGTACATGTCTTAATGACTGGAGTGCACCCAATGTCTGTACATGTCTTAATGACTGCAGTGCATCCAATGTCTGTACATGTCTTAGTGACTGGAGTGCACCCAATGTCTGTACATGTCTTAATGACTGGAGTGTACCCAGTGTCTGTACATGTCTTAATGACTGGAGTGCACCAATGTCTGTCCATGTCTTAATGACTGGAGTGCACCAATGTCTGTACATGCCTTAATGACTGGAGTGCACCAATGTCTGTACATGCGTTAATGACGCATCTCCAGAGAACATCTCATATAATCTACAGAAAATGGCAAAATGGTGTTACTTACTAACACATGTTATTTCCTTGTTTTTAAGAAAGCAATTTTCACTTCTATGGTTCAACACTATTAATAGGAAATATTAAATCATAAAAACACATACATATATTTCATCTGATTTCATTGATTCTGCTTCTCGTTTTGGATGTTATCAGTTCCAAGTTCATTTTGCTTTAAACACATTTTTTATTTATGTTATATTAACAATACTCTTTACAAATCTGTACACTATTTGTGACGTATATACCTTGGTGTGCCCTTTTGTGTTGAATATAAGGTCAAGCTGTACATCAGAGCCTCCCAGACTACAGCTCACAGCATAACTAATTAAGGAGATTAATTCTAACTTATTAAGATTCATGTGGTATTGGTATTTGATGTGGATTTCTTATGTTCTTCACTTTTTCTGTTATTAATATCGTGGAAACGTCGCTGCTGGGTATTTTGTATATTAACGCTGATTAATTATACAGAGGATTAAGTCTACCAGGACTGGTCCATTAATACAACAGGTAAATCTTATATGTTTCGACAAGCCATCTCTACCCCACTGTCTAGCAACTGGGGTATCTGACAACTGGTATATGACTTTCCGACTACACATGAACGCATAGTCGCATGTAGGGTGTGCCTGCTTGACTTGACTTGTAGTAGAGCTGGAACCACCGCCGCGCTACTGATTTTTATATTAACTGAATTTGTTTATTTTATACCCGTCTAAAGAATATTGGACTCAACTTATCCTTCATGCCCAGTGCAGGGTTCCAGCATGGGTCAGTCATTGTCTTGACCATCTCATCAGATACAGAGGCCGCTGATATATGACTATAGAATTTCTGCCTATACGGTTTTTATCCTTCTCAGCGGAGATCGTACCCTTTATAATTAATGAGCCGTGGGCAGGCGTTATGCTGATTATATACCGTCACGTGACTTGTATTGTTGCTTCATACAGGCGGACATTATTGATAGTGTTCCCGCTATACCTCCTCCGATGACACCATTACTCACGCTATTAGACATCGGTACTTCCATTATCTTCCTCGCTAAATACAGTGCTGATCAAAGGACTTTGTTACAAAGCAGCCTCTCAGTTTAATATCACACGGCAATTCACAACAGAACACTGTTGCTTGTATGGCTTTGGATAAATACCAACACGGCAATCTACTCCCTTGACGACTTCTCAAGTATTTTCCTAAAACACAAATCCATTATTTTGCAGAGGTTTGTCTTGGTTGGGTCAGTAGTTTGGGTGGTTGGGGATGCGGATTTTATTCTTTCACCATAGATACCCTGGAGCCATCTGCCATCTTATGTATGTTTGGGAAGCCACCAGCTTCATCTCTTTTGTCACCAACTAATCACAGAATTGTTCCAGCCGAGGGTCTTGAAATTAACCACCAATCAAAATCCCTCTTCCAAACGTGAGTTTGTCATAGATCTACATTCAAAATGGCGCCCTCGATATATTTTAGGGTGAGTCTCACGACAGCGACCTTTCGACTTTAAAAACAAAACAGTCAGTCTCACCAGAGCGAATAGCCTTGCTCTGAATGATAAGTCCATGGGTGTGGAGTACCTCTGAGTACCAAGATCTGTTCCCTCCGATTAGACCGCCTCCGTGGTCCTGTGGTAGAGCGTCCGCCCGGAGAGTGGAAGGTCCGGGGTTCGATCCCCGGCCGCGTCATAACAAAAGACGTTAAAAGATGGTACTTGTTGTTACCCTGTCTGGCGCTCGGCATTAAGGGGCTAAAACAAGGACTGGTCGGCTCGGAGTCGGTATACTGTGTCTGAGTGGGGTATTCATGTTAAACTGCGGCGTGGTATCTCAGTGAGCTAGCACTATAAATCGGCATTAGTCCGGACTAGAACAAGCAGCCACACAAACACATACTCGTACATGCAAGTCGCTATATAAGTGCAATAATCTTGGACGCGACGTTAAACCCAATTTCACCTCACCTCCCTCCGATTAACGACAATGAATGACAGCGTAACACAACCATTAATGATTATATATGCTTACAAAATGTTTCAGGTGTAGTGTAAATGGTAGGGTATGATGAGCTACACTAATATATCGTCTTTTTATATTTCTTGTGAATGTAAATTTGGTTGAAATGTGATGAAAATCGTATATGAAATCCGACAATAATTATTGTTCTACAGACAATACTGAGAACAAAACTAACATTCAATATAAACAACTTACACTGACAGCTGAAGAAGACCATATCGAAGTCACACCTGGATCTGAATGAATTCGTAAAAACCCTGAAGACCAACACTACACGTGCAGTAGGAGGCAAGAGGCAAGCGGCAAGAGGCCAACGGCAAGAGGCATGCGGCAAGCGGCAGAGGCAAGCGGCAAGAGGCAAGCGCCAAGCGGCAGAGGCAAGCGGCAAGCGGCAAGAGGCAAGCGGCAAGCGGCAGAGGCAAGCGAGAAGCGCCAGAGGCAAGCGGCAAGAGGCAAGCAGCAAGAGGCAAGAGGCAAGAGGCAAGCGGCAAGAGGCAAGCAGCAAGAGGCAAGAGGCAAGAGGCAAAAGGCAAGGGAAAGCGGCAAGAGGCATGCGGCAAGCGGCAAGAGGCGAGCGGGAAGCGCCAGAGGCAAGCGGCAAGAGGCAAGCCGCAAGAGGCAAGAGGCAAAAGGCAAGGAAAAGCGGCAAGAGGCAAGCGGAAAGAGGCAAGAGGCAGGCGGAAAGAGGCAAGCGGCAAGCGGCAAGTGGCAAGAGGCAAGCGGCAAGCGGCAAGCGGCAAGCGGCAAGAGGCAAGTGGCAAGAGGCAGGCGGCAGGCGGCAGGCGGCAAGCGGCAAGAGGCAAGAGGCAGGCGGCAAGAGGCAAGAGGCAAGAGGCAAGAGGCAAGCGGGCCCCAAAGTGGAGGAGATGTCGCTACAGAGAGGCAAGATATCGGGATTCGAACCCGGATCTGAGGCGTGACGAGCGAATGCTTTAACCACTAACCATCGCCCCGTATCTATTATGAAATAAAAGGAGACAGTCGAGTATGCTTGTGGAGGGACGGGTTCAGTCCACAGTTTGGCATGTGTGGATGTATGGCATGGAGGTTCTTGCATTCAACTCCTTTGAAGGTTCCATTTGAAAAATGACAAGATGTCAATGTGCTGTCACGCTCAACCGATTACAGAGTTGTGGTACAAACTAGGAAATTAATACCAGACGATGAACGAAATCTTTACGGTTTACATAACCAGACTGAAATTACAAAGTTCTCTAGAACATGAATTCCTTGCATTAAATGTTTATCATTTGTCTCCGCTAAGTGCTAATTCTACCAGGGTTACAAGCAAGTGTCCAGCAAGGGGGGTCGCAAGCAAGCGGCAGAGGCAAGCGGCAAGAGGCAAGCGGCAGAGGCAAGCGGCAAGAGGCAAGCGGCAAGCGCCAAAGGCAAGCGGGAAGCGCCAGAGGCAAGCGGCAAGAGGCAAGCAGCAAGAGCCAAGAGGCAAAAGGCAAGGAAAAGCGGCAAGAGGCATGCGGCAAGCGGCAGAGGCAAGCGGCAAGCGGCAAAAGGCAAGCGCCAAACGGCAGAGGCAAGCGGCAGAGGCAAGCGGCAAGAGGCAAGCGGCAAGAGGCGAGCGCCAAGCGCCAGAGGTAAGCGGGAAGCGCCAGAGGCAAGCGGCAAGAGGCAAGCAGCAATGGGAAAGAGGCAAAAGGCAAGGAAAAGCGGCAAGAGGCAAGCGGAAAGAGGCAAGAGGCAAGAGGCAGGCGGCAAGAGGCAAGCGGCAAGAGGTAAGAGGCAGACGGCAAGAGGCAAGCGGCGAGAGGCAGGCGGCAGGCGGCAAGAGGCAGGCGGCAAGAGGCAAGAGGCAAGAGGCAAGCGGCGAGAGGCAAGTGGCAAGAGGCAGGCGGCAGGCGGCAAGAGGCAGGCGGCAAGAGGCAAGAGGCAAGAGGCAAGAGGCAAGTGGCAAGAGGCAAGAGGCAGGCGGCAGGCGGCAAGAGGCAAGAGGCTAGCGGCAAGCGGCAAGCGGCAAGAGGCAAGCGGAAAGAAGCAAGCGGAAAGAGGCAGGCGGCAAGAGGCAAGAGGCAAGCGGCAAGAGGCAAGCGGCAGAGGCAAGCGGCAAGCGGCAAAAGGCAAGCGCCAAGCGGCAGAGGCAAGCGGCAGAGGCAAGCGGCAGAGGCAAGCGGCAAGAGGCGAGCGCCAAGCGCCAGAGGTAAGCGGGAAGCGCCAGAGGCAAGCGGCAAGAGGCAAGCAGCAAGAGGCAAAAGGCAAGGAAAAGCGGCAAGAGGCAAGAGGCAAGAGGCAGGCGGCAAGCGGCAAGCGGCAAGCGGCAAGCGGCAAGAGGCAAGCGGCAAGAGGCAAGCGGCAGGCGACAGGCGGCAAGAGGCAGGCGGCAAGAGGCAAGAGGCAAGAGGCAAGCGGCAAGAGGCAAGTGGCAAGTGGCAAGAGGCAAGAGGCAAGTGGCAAGAGGCAAGAGGCAAGAGGCAGGCGGCAGGCGGCAAGAGGCAAGAGGCAAGCGGCAAGAGGCAAGAGGCAGAGGCAAGAGGCAAGAGGCAAGAGGCAGGCGGCAGGCGGCAGGCGGCAAGAGGCAAGTGGCAAGAGGCAAGAGGCAAGCGGCAAGCGGCAAGAGGCAAGAGGCAAGTGGCAAGAGGCAAGAGGCAAGAGGCAGGCGGCAGGCGGCAAGTGGCAAGTGGCAAGAGGCAAGAGGCAAGCGGCAAGCGGCAAGAGGCAAGCGGCAAGAGGCAAGCGGGCCCCAAAGTGGAGGAGATGTCGCTACAGAGAGGCCAGATGTCGGGATTCGAACCCGGATCTTAGGCGTGACGAGCGAATGCTTTAACCACTAACCATCGCCCCGTATCTATTATGAAATAAAAGGAGACAGTCGAGTATGCTTGTGGAGGGACGGGTTCAGTCCACAGTTTGGCATGTGTGGATGTATGGCATGGAGGTTCTTGCATTCAACTCCTTTGAAGATTCCATTTGAAAAATGACAAGCTGTCAATGTGCTGTCACGCTCAACCGATTACAGAGTTGCGGTAAAAACTAGTCAGGAAATTAATACCAGACGATGAACGAAATCTTTACGGTTTACATAACCAGACTGAAATTACAAAGTTCTCTAGAACATGAATTCCTTGCATTAAATGTTTATCATTTGTCTCCGCTAAGTGCTAATTCTACCAGGGTTACAAGCAAGTGTCCAGCAAGGGGGGTCGCGGCCTGAGCCGTGGTATTTCGCTTGACACTAGGGACGTAAAGATGGAACAGTCTAGCCAGAGAGAAAGCGTTTGTCTAGCCTATTTCAGTTGCATGTATGTAAGATGGCTATGGGTGACCTCATGCCTTGGTTTCATTGGGCTTGACCATTCATGGATATATTTGTGATGATAAGTAATAGCACTCATGTAGCTTTGCGAGACCCCTTGACATCCGGGTTGGAATAGGTCTTCAGAAACCCATGCTTGTCGCAAGAGGCGACTACGCTTGTCGTAACAGGCCATCGGATGGTCAGGCTTGCTGAATTGGGTGATGAATGTCATCGTTTCCCAGTTGAGTAGATCTTGGAGCTGTGATGTCTGTCACTGGAGTGTCTGGACCAGACTCGATTATTTTCAGACCGCCGTCATATAGTTGGAATACTGGAGAGTGCGGCGTTAAACAACAAACAAACAAAACAAACCTTTGACCAATGATGGTGGATGGTGATGCTTCTGCAATATCGACGAACCTGTAACTGGTGTTACCTTTTGCAAACACCAGGGCCCACTTGCACAAAGCAATCTTAGTGCTGAGATGATCTTAACTCCCATACTTTAACATAGGCTTACGACAGTCTTAGCGCTAAGATCGTTTTGTGCAAGTGGGGCCAGGTTTCAGCACACATTTTTAATGATCCATTCATATAATTTTCTTTTGCCCTATACGTCCTAATCGGTTTCGGTAGGTAATCGAGACAGGTTATTCTTTGTCGTCTACGTTTCTATTTACATAAGAAAGTACAATGTCTTTGGTGTTTTGAGAAATTCTTGTGCAGTCAGGTTAAATCATACTTGGGGGTTTTTTACATTGCAAAACATGACGTCTCGTTTGTCGACAGGTGTTGATGCGACCCCTCCGTACAACAGGGTTACAGACTGCATTCACCACTGAAATAATTAAATGGCTCCATTTCTGGGTCCCTCTAGTTTTCTGATAAGACCACCGCGGCGATGCTTGTCGTAAGAGGTGACTAACGGGTTCTGATGGTCAGGCTCGCTTACTTGGTTGATGCATGTTATCGTATTCCAACTGCGTGGATCGATGCTCATGATGTCAATCACTGGATTGTCTGGTCCAGGCTCGATTATTTATATTCGATTCATATAGCTGGAATATTGACATGTGAGCAGGGACAGACTTAACATAAGAATGCCTGTTTTCGTACACTTGTAAATACTGTATTTATATGTTTGTAACTCTCCTATGGAGGAATAAAGAATATATATATATATATGAACGACAAATGCCGTAACGACCGCACCGATAGCATTGCTGACACACATAACAGTAGCTGTTATCGTGACCACGGAGTCCATTACTCTCCCGTCCTTGTAGCGAGCAGCACATACTTTATAATGAATGGTGTCCAGTTATCACTGCACTAATTACATGCTTGTGGCAATGTGTACCATGGGGGTTTCATTCAGGATGACGCTAATTCATCTGCATGGTTATAAAATCAATTCTACCCACTTCCTGTAATGGACGACTAAACGGCCGAGGATGAATCGTCAGCTCATGTAGCTCTGTATAACCAGGCTGTTGTCATGTCTGCGTGAATAAACGGGATAAATAAACAGCTGTAGGTGTTGGATATCATTGATAGGGGGGGCTAATATCAGGCGATGTTGGAAAAGAATTATGGTGAGGGCAGATTCATAAGTTGTGTGATACCACATTTTTTGCCTTATTGTATAAAAGAAAATATATGTTCTTGAACATTTCTGTGTATCAACTGGAATGGAAGTAAATCTAAACTGAACTAAACTATTGTGTTATTCGACGAGGTGGAATATTGAAAAGCTACCCAAAATGGTGTTTTACGGGAGATTAAATTGAAGTTGTGACTTTTTATAAATATTTAGGAACAGTTTTCACACCCAAGTTGTTGTTGAGGAAGACCTTCAGTAGTCTTACAGCTCAGGCAAACAAATCAATCAGATTCATCAACTTCTATCAAAAGAAAAATACATACCCAATATTTCAAGATGCCTTTAAAATATTTGACAGTGTTGCCGTTCCGATCTCATGTTACGGAGTTTGGGCAACATCGTACAACAAAATAATTGAAAATGTCCAAATATCTTTATGTAAACAGTATCTTCGTCACTAAGGCGACACCTCATAAAATAGTACTTGGGATGTGTGACAGCCTCCCTCTACAGTCTATCTATATGACAAGAGCGGTAACATATTGGTGCAGCCGTCATCTTGACACCCACAGAGACCCCATCTCGTCAAGCCTCATCACGCTAACATCACCTGATGAGGTGGGAAGAGGGACATGGGCTACATCAATTAAAACATTTTGTTCAGATTAGTTATTAAAGCTGGTCTGGTTTCAACAAGAAATCGGCGATATAAAATTATTTCTAAATGAATTTCAGCAAAGACTATCAGATACCCTGTATCAAACTGGCCTTCTTTTTCAATGGAATTATCTTCGAAATCTAATTACTGTGTTCAGTACAAATCTCTGTAGAACACAGGACGTTATTTAACAACTGACCTTCCACATTGCATTCAGATATATATTTCAGGGTTTAGATGTAACAATTTCCGTTTAAATGCGGAACCTAGAAGACAAAGTTACACTCCCAGTAATGAAAGATCTTGCGATTTCTGTTTGTACTAATACATAAATAGATTGAAAATGAATACCATGTGATGTTTATATGTGAACGATATTCTACTATAAGAAGGAAATATCTCTCGCCATATTACACAGAATATCAATCTCTAATAAACACACAGCTGATGAAGCATGTCAAACATTTATCCTTCATAATATGGGTTTATACTTAGCAAAAACCAACAAATTAAGAAATACCAAATACATTTTTGTGATGAATGAAATTGTTATATGTATTTTACTCAAGCATGCCTGATTTATCATGCTAATTTAAATGTTTTGTGGGCAGGTGGCCTGTTACTGTAATAAACTGTCTGTCTGTATGTGTGTCTGTCTGTCTCTCTGTCTCTCTGGGTTCGACGTTTAGTAAGTGTTTTATATGGACTAATAGTGTGTTATGTGGACTTATAGTTAGTGTTTTATTTGGACTTATAGTTAGTGTCTTATTTAGTGTTATAGTTAGTGTGTTATATTGACTTAACATTAGTGTGTTATATGGACTTATAGTTAGTGCGTTATATGGACTTATAGTTAGTGTGTTATATGGGCTAATAGTTAGTGTGTTACATGAACTTATAGTTAGTGTGTTATATGGTCTTATAGTTACTGTGTTATATGGTCTTATAGTTACTGTGTTATATGGTCTTATAGTTACTGTATTATATGGACGTATAGTTAGTGTGTTATATGGTCTTATAGTTACTGTGTTATATGGTCTTATAGTTACTGTATCATATGGACGTATAGTTAGTGTGTTATATGGTCTTATAGTTAGTGTGTTATTTAGTGTCATAGTTAGTGTGTTATATTGACTTAACATTAGTGCTTTATATGGACTTATAGTTAGTGTGTGTTATATTGACTTATAGTAAGTGCGTTATTTAGTGTTATTGTTAGTGTGTTATATTGACTTAACAGTAGTGTGTTATATGGACGTATAGTTACTGTGTTATATGGACTTATAGTTAGTGTGTTATATGGACTTATAGTTAGTGTATTATTTCAGAAATACAAGAAGTGTGGGACAAGTCCATTTTACGAACAGGTGGGTTAAGTTTGGTATTTCCCACATATTCTCTCAATCCTCGAGTCAATTACCTGTACCTTTTCTCCGATTGTTATATCTCTCACAAGGAGTCCTCGGAGTACCTTGGAGACGTTGTGTTCACCTGATTATCGCTGTTCGAGTCCCCACATGGGTACAATGTATGAAGAACATTTCTGGTGTCCCCCCCGTGATATTGCTGGAATATTGTTAAAAGCGGCGTAAACCATACTCACTCACTCACTCACTCACCAACTCACTCACTTTACATTTACACTTCTTAAACGAAAAATGTTCTGTGACCATTTTATATTTGAGCCAATCTATGATATTAATCGCTTATACAAATAAAGAACAAATTCAAACATATGTTGCGTTTAAACGAAAATAAAAGATTTGACGTGTCTGGCTTTTATCGCGTCGTGGTTGTGGAATGGTCGCTAGCTGACATTTCGAGCAAAGTGCCTTCATTCAGTTATAGCACAGACCATAAAATAGATTCTGGACTGGTTATAGTTATACATACCGGCCCTAAACGCAATATCACAACTTATCAAATTTCACAGTTGTGTATCCCGTTGCTATAGAAATGACGACAAATAATTGTAATATGGCCTGTTCATCTAAATAAAGGTTATTGTTGCTTTGCTAATGCTGTTCCGGGGATGGAGAGTGTCCCTAGCGTTCCCTATCTGCCGCTGTTCTCCATGATGTGAGTCACGGCCATCAGTGGCCATTGTTGTTCACACTGTAATCTCTGTCCTCTCACATACCGTGCTCTTCTTATTAATTCGGGGGAAAATATATGTTGTCATGGAAACCAAATGTTTCTATCGCGTACGTAACAATAATTGGGCAAACACGACAATGGCGCGTTGGGAAAACCTCTTCAGGGCCTCTTGAGGGACATTCGAGATCATCAGCACGCAACTGCTTCCGGAATCAATGTTAAGTTAACGGAAGTTTGGTCACGTGGTTTAGGCTTGTTCAAGGACACTCTACTCTACCCTACTCATTGACCCACAACTGTCCGCATCACCGCAGTCAAGATGTAGCTCTCTGTTGACTTGGAACATCCGTAACACGCAGTCAAGATGTAGCTCTCTGTTGACTTGGAACAACCGTACCACGCAGTCAAGATGTAGTTCTATGTTGACTTAGAACAACCGTACCACGCAGTCAAGATATAGCTCTATGTTGACTTGGAACAACCGTACCACGCAGTCAAGATGTAGCTCTCTGTTGACTTGGAACATCCGTACCATGCAGTCAAGATGTACCTCTCTGTTGACATGGAACATCCGTACCACGCAGTCAAGATATAGCTCTCTGTTGACTTGGGACATCCGTACCACGCAGTCAAGATGTAGCTCTCTGTTGACTTGGAACAACCGTACCACGCAGTCAAGATGTAGCTCTCTGTTGACATGGAACATCCGTACCACGCAGTCAAGATGTAGCTCTCTGTTGACTTGGGACATCCGTACCACGCAGTCAAGATGTAGCTCTCTGTTGACATGGAACAACCGTACCACGCAGTCAAGATGTAGCTCTCTGTTGACTTGGGACATCCGTACAACGCAGTCAAGATGTAGCTCTCTGTTGACTTGGAACATCCGTACCACGCAGTCAAGATGTAGCTCTCTGTTGACATGGAACAACCGTACCACGCAGTCAAGATGTAGCTCTCTGTTGACATGGAACATCCGTACCACGCAGTCAAGATGTAGCTCTCTGTTGACTTGGAACAACCGTACCACGCAGTCAAGATGTAGCTCTCTGTTGACATGGAACATCCGTACCACGCAGTCAAGATATAGTTCTCTGTTGACATGGAACATCCGTACCACGCAGTCAAGATGTAGCTCTCTGTTGACATGGAACATCCGTACCACGCAGTCAAGATGTAGCTCTCTGTTGACAACCGTACCACGCAGTCAAGACATAGCTCTCTGTTGACTTAAAACATCCGTACCACGCAGTTAAGATGTTGCTCTGTGTTGACATGGAACATCCGTACCACACAGTCAAGATGTAGCTCTCTGTTGACTTGGAACATCCGTACCACGCAGTCAAGATGTAGCTCTATGTTGACATGGAACATCCGTACCACGCAGTCAAGATGTAGCTCTCTGTTGACTTGGAACAACCGTACCACGCAGTCAAGATGTAGCTCTCTGTTGACATGGAACATCCGTACCACGCAGTCAAGAT